GGTGTTTCACTGCTGCAAATCCTGGTGATACATACAGGGAGTCTAGAAATAAAGATTTGAACCACCGGTTTTCAGTGTATTCCGTACAACCAGTATAATTATGTACAGAAATATATTGCTTCTAGAAAGGTAGAAACCATAGGATTCATTATAGTTAACGATTTTTGCAATGGGATTATAAAGTGTAGATGTGGCTTCGAAATTAGATTTTTTTTTATTCATTGTAATGCTCTGCATAGCTCTTATCATGACCTTTAGGTGCAGAAATGAATAATTCCCGCGGATAATTGTTTTACTCAATTCTGTAGACGCAATTCAAGAAATCTGGAGTGATCAACAGATATTGTATGCAAAAACAAAGTGAACTGCCACCAAAAAGGCAGTCATCTGATAGGATAAAATACTGTTTAAGTGATCTATGCAATGACAAAAGTTCACCACTAATTAATTCACAGGATAACTTATTACCAGCTAACAGCATACACACAGCTATTATTCTCACCGTATTCAACGTGTTCATCTCACGTTAGCCTGTAAGTAAGAATAAAGATGGAGAAAGTGAAAATGTCTTCCTTTTACCTTACGACCACATTCATTCTGATGAATACATTTTCAATTACATTTAAAATTGATTTCTATCCATAAAAAAATCTTAAAACTTTCAATACCAAACTACACTTGTTGTTGAAAATACTGAAATTCAAGTTGTAAAATACAAAACATTTACAAGTCAATAGGGATTTTTTTCTGAAGTCATTTTGACATTGAAAGTAATACACTGAAACACGAAATTATATGCAGTATTTTACCATATTTTGATTTTTATATTTACTTAAAGAGATCTATTGATTCCTGATAAATATAATTCAAGAGGCTTCTTCAAACAGCAACGAATATAAACGAGTTTTAGCCAGAATATTAGTTTTTCTGAAGTTGTCAAATAATTTCTGTAATAATTACGAATTTTAAAGAAATCCATGTTAGAAGGTGGACGCTGACTGATTTCACAATAGTAGAAAACATTTATATCATAACATTTGTATTAAACGCATTAAACAGTAGTAGGTTGTGACCGGAATATGTACGTCACCACAACTGCGACGCAGGATGTAAAAAGTCTTGATCTGTAAACTAAAATGCATCATAAAAGCAACTTAATAATTTCCATTTATTTCCTCAAGTCACGGTTTTTCTATAAGTTGGTATGCACAGAAGAAAAAAACACATCCTTAGGAATGTCATTTCAGTATGTCACAAGGTGATACAGGTATAACAAAAGCCGCCGTTTGAAGTGATTCTTGCAACCAGATTGAGAACTTTGCTTTTCAAGACCCTGCGTCCTCTCATGCCTCATTTATGGAACTTTTATTGACATGCATCCGACAGGATCTTGAAGTTTCAGTGCGAAGCCAACTGAACTTCTGGGATATCTTTGCAAGTGACCATTTTGTCTTTTCTGCTAACCTTGATGATACACTCGCATCGTATCCTTTTTATCCTCGAGATGCCCAACTTTAGTTGTGTAAGGTAGGTTTTCCATGCAGTGACTTCATTGTCAGCCACTAGTTGGTGGACATACTGGGTATTTATATAAATAGGTTGGTTAGTCAGCGATTTAACTCAGTTCCGGAATACTTTTTTTAAGAATCCTAGCCACCTTCCTCTACGTTACCAGCTGGGAGATCAAACAGTTAGGCTACGAGGTCTCACTGTAGATTTGATCATGATTTTGTTCTGGTTACCATATACATTCGCGTAATTTTCACTTTCTGAAGTCATAACAAAGCGAAAACAAGGATAATATAACTTTCAAGCGTCACTATGCATTTAAAGCTTACAAGTATGTAATGAAGTATGTAAAATATGAGTCGCATCCATCATTTGGATGGAATGATAAGCATATCAATGCTGTCGAAATAAAACCTAGTCATCTGAAGAATAATGCAAATGTCAAGCAACTCTCACAATGACAGATATCCTCACAAGACCATTGGTGTGAAACAGTCGAATGTCAACCACCGGCTGGCAATGATCACTGGTAAATAGAGGTATCTTCAAAAGTCCGGGGTTGAAGATTGTGATGTTAATGTCTAGTATATACTCCCAGAGTCAGATATGAAGTCTATCTGCCATTTTTTCCATAATTATTGTTCATACTTCTCTTCACTTTTCGAGATCACTGCTGTTTCTGAGCACCTTATCATTCAGATGAAACCCGCAAATTCGATAAACTTGAGCCTTGACAAGGTTTTAAGTCTTCCTTTCCCAGTCATGCAGAAAAAAACTAATGAGCATGGTTGCAGAATTCTCTGACATAACCCTTGATATGCTGTAGTCTCTGCGGAGAAGACTGAGGTGATACAAACACTTGAAAATGAAGATGGTAGATTGACTTTCTTTGGTTGAATTGTCATCTGTTGGATATATGGTGAAGGAGGATAATGTGAGTGAGGGTTTTATACAGAAGCTCTTATTGATATGAGGGCCAAAATCTTTATGATTCCGAGCAGAGCCATAGAATTTTTAACCTATGGACAATGATTTCCGATGCATTTACTTGTGAAATGCTGGGAAAGATTTATGCCTCAGGTTGGGGATGATGATACACCATCATCTTCTACTTACGTTTCCTCGCACGGGTGAAACTGTCATTACTACATTTAGCACCGTACAGAAAACGTCTAGAATAATCCATCTTAATGAAGTAGTAGTTTCGTGAAGGTTCGATTCATCACAAGGTACCTTTCATTCCAGATTTGGATTGGATGATGAATAGTTTACGCTTTGTTAGTAATAAACGGCCCATTCAACTTAACCTGGATGCGAACTACTGAGGGACTTGAAAAAATTTACATGCGAATTCCTGAAACTACTGATATCTACTAGATGACAGTCTGTGACAAAAGCACATCTTAATATGCATCATAAGCTCCTTGGAACAATCTCAGTTTTCTTTTGCATCTTTTAGAGTGCATTGTGTTCATTACATTGACTTAGTTTCGTTAGGTTAGTGAAAGCAATTAGAAAGGAGCTCCTGATCTGGTTTTCTTGCTTGTTGGCACTCGTCAGCAAGGTGTATCTCCAAACTCAGGAAAACCGAGGTCCTCTAAGTGACTGGAACCTATCTGTCCGGAAAACTGAATTTTACATTTTTCTGAATAGTTGCTGTTCATGACAATTGGACAATTGTACCCGTTAGCTTCTAGAGACCAAATAGTATCCAATTAGGCACATTTACCTTCGCACTTTGATTTTCCTACCGGCAGGCCTCACTTTTTAAAATAAAGACTTGACAGTAATTCATGAAGTATATCAGAGTGGGCCCACACTGCTTGTCAGTTACCGAAGTCGAGGGAATGTCGATTATTAAAGGGTTAAGTGAAGTTTATCAGATCGGATATTTTTCAAGATGTTTTTTGCACAAATGTGTTCTGAAAGAATCTGATGTTTGCACTAAACAAAAGGTATGCTTATATTTCAGCCATCCGTAAACTGATTTAATACAAAATATGTGTTTAAGGTGTTTCATATAAGTATGTGAGCACAGACGCCGTTTGCGATACTGAATCCAGTTTTCCTTCATAGACATGCAGTGACGTAATTATACGTTGAGTGCCTTTCATGTGAATTTCACAAAGTTCTGAAGGAAGAATCCATAGAGGAACAAGAGAGCTTGGAGATGGAACATTTATAACTCAGTATTTTCTGTCTAAATTCAGGATCAAAGTGACAACGCAATTCTCCAATCAAACCACCATATTGAGGTGATCTGTAGGCGCATGCCCACTAATCTTCTTGGCAGCAGCTTTTCTGTGACTTATCGGTAGAACTCAGGTTCCCTTGATTAGATCTTCGATAAACACATCTGAAATCTAAACCTAACAATGGAATGGAATTATGAGCAAATTTCCACTTGGAAACATACATTTTATGCACAAATCGAAGAAGTATTGCAGTATTTCCAGCTCTCATCTCTGTGAAGAGAAAATTTGTCGATATCTTAAAAGCAGTTTCATACTCTTTTGATGGCGTTTTAAATTATATGTATTCTACACTGTAGGTGGTCTACTTGAGGGTACACATTCGGTATATCAGATACTATTGCTGCAGAATTGTCAGTAGCAAAGCATTCGACATCATTGATCATAATTACTTCTTTGAAAAAAGCTAAACTTCCGTATCATCTTTCTCATCTCTCTTCAAATGATACTGAATGCATCTGGTATTGAAATCAAATGGATGTTAACGGCGTCAAGTTAACAAAGAAACAAATTCATTTTGTTAGTTCTATGCATTCTGTCCAGTCCGATGAAATCTGAAAGATTATGTGACACAGCTAATCACCAATGGTGAAGAAGTATTCCATATCGTTCTCTTCAATAATCCTGCATGGTAACTTGCTGCCTAACAATTCAAACAGCACTGCAACCTTTAAAATGTCTCCTGAATTTCATAAAGAGTAATTTCATAAATAATCTCTTTTGCAGGTTAGAATGTGAAAATGCTAAGCAAAGCAAGCTGAATGCATCTTACGTATTTATTTGTTTCCCAATCCTGATACCAGCATTCTCGACAGTAGGATCCTACGTAGTGTGGGAAACTAAATCGCGTTAATGATTCCGTACCACGTTTCCACCGAACGCCTCATCCATAAGGTGTCGTAGATAATGGAATTCAACTTGTAATTGTGAGTCAAAGACAATCGTACAACCCTTCAACAGACCTAGATTTGTTTTGCGTACATGTTTTGTACACAAACACATTTCATGGAACTTTTTGATGTTCTTGTGTCCTCGGAGTTGAATAGTTTAATCGCGAAGCTTTTATTGTGGTCCTAAATCGTATCATCAGCAGAAAACGTAACCTGGAGTTTTGTGTGAGTTCATTAATTTCAAGCCGACATTCTTTACGGATTGAAATCAGTGGGAAAAACACTGAAAATTTGGAAGAAATAAATAGATGTTTCGTTCTGACATGGGACTTCTTAGTAGTGCTTATGCGTGAAATCGCCGTAGTCTGAACCCAGGACCTTCAGTTCCCAAAGCCATTACGTCCCCGTTGATCCACTGGATCAAAATCCAATAGTCCAAATTTTCCTGCTTCTGTATTTTACTCAGTAATGAATTCGTGACTACGGTAAACCAAGTCGGACGTGTAGTGTGGTATTCAGCGGCAGCAGTGGATGACGATCGCGCTAAATCGCTAACTGACAGAAGTAGGGAAATGTGAACCATTGATTTCTGAGCTGGTAGCTCGATGGTAACATGTTAGCCGTGAAGTTTGAAGGTCCTAGGCTAGATCCTTGGAAGGATGGGGTCTTCGGTGCTCACTGCTGCGGGCTGTCATACCAGGACGAAACATCTATCTACTGCTCTCAGGTTTTCAGTGATTCACCAACTGATGTTAGTCCATGATGAATATTAACTCCTTAAGAAATCCGGCCGCAGTCCAAATTTTCATTTCACTTCGAGTCATCACCCAGTATAAACACTAGTCTGCCAAACCAAAGCTCAGACAGTCAAAACGGTAATCAATATGATGCTGACCCCTCTTGAATTCAGTTATATTTTTACTGAGATGAAAAGTTCTGACTCAGCAGCCAGTGTGAGTACGATAAAGCAGTAGAAATGAGTGACAAATCCACACGTTAGTCAGGGAAAACCTCTGGCGATTGAAATAAAATAAAAATCTGGTCAGTAGTCACGCCTCATAGTTCATTTGTAGAGCACTGGGTCGGAAATCCACTGGTCACTGATTTGAATCCAGCCGCGGTCCAAATCCTCACTTCACCTCCAACGATCAACCAGTATAAATAAATAATCATAACCAAGATAGCCACCATATACCTTTATCCAGATGGATGGTCATGTTTGTATCATAGGAACCAAATATATAGAGATTTTCTCTGAAGACACCACGAATCTTGCACTTTGAGTAAGAAGACTGTTAGTTTTCAGTACTTTTTAACCAAGAACTTCAACTGAGTAAGAGCTGCATAATCTGCTTAGCAAAATATTTGCAGAAGCACATGATTTTTACTAACATTAACAACAGAAACAGATGCAGTTTTCATTTAAAGTTAAGAAAGTTGTTATTACACTATTGTCATTCCATCTATATCACACTTCAAATCATAATAAATCAATAACTACCAAGGGGTTTTTCATTGGATATTTGATACCTTCAGACGGAGAGGTCGGTTTTGACTGCTTTTTGCAAATTTTTGCAAAATTATTCTTATCCCATTATTCTCGTTATTTGACAGTCGGTGAGAAACATGTTCTTACGGACGGTAGTGCACCATTATGTTACTTTTACCAATATAAGTGTGAACTTGTAGTTGCAATGTGTGGTAGAATTAAAGGAATTTCGCTCTGGGTTTGAAAATATCCTTGAGGTTGAACAATGAGAAACGGCGTAAAAAGTTCATTTGACTACCAATCGAAGACTTTGTGGTATCAGCTGCCTAACCTAGACACCTTTACATGGTAATTTAATGAAGATCACTTTTTCTGTTGCAAATGATGTCTTTTTAGAGATTAGCTGATATTTACTGTGAGATACAATGAATTTTTCGGATAGCCAAAACAGAATGTATGCAATACACTTCGTCATCTGTCACCGGCACATATTCTATGAACTTGTGAGAGAAGCCATTCAACTAAACAATGTCTATGCTGAATATAAACAAAGCTACTGAAAGGAAATTTTGTCCGTTATATGTTATTTTTCCAAAATATCGATCTTCTAATAGTTTCATCATTTCGTGTAGCGATTTAAATGCATATAAAACCAAATTTGTTACTCCATTCGTATTCAAATGCCACGAAAATATTTAGATATGACTGAATAAGGCAATAAACTTAATAACTGACTGATGATTGTCTTCCATGACAAGAGTATCATCTACATTACGTTTATTAGATGGTTGGAGGTGATCGGCAGGAAGCACTGGACCTAGATTTCTTGCTTGTCGGCAATTGTCAACAAGGCATATCTGTAACCTCAATGGAACTGATGTCTAGCTCTCTGGTGACCAATCACTATATGTAACCCAGTCCTACAGGATGTCAGTCACTGCCTGAGTAGCTCACTGGTAAAGTCACTAACTACAACACTGATCAAGGCGGGTTCGAATCTCAGACGGGATATCCCTTGAGGTTACAGATACACCCTGTTGACGAGTGCCAGCAAGCACGAAACCCACGTCAGGCAGGGCTTCCTGAAGACTACCTGCAACCAACTAAAGACTCTACGTCGATAGACCGAGAAAGAACAGCAGTGACGAGTTGAGACGAATGGCCAAATTCTAAAGAGGTGCTATTTTTGATAAAAAGTACAGGAGATAGATATTCTATCGCTACCTGATATGATAGTTTATTGTGATAAACTATCATATCTTACTGATGAAACTTAACACCCAATCAAATAAGAATCTCAGTTCTCCGAGAGAATTAAAGACCTCAAGATAGACGAAGACAAAAACTAATGTTCATCGGTGAATATGCAACTTTTAACGTCAATCAACCCGGATCTCGAGAAACAAACAATGAATATCCATTTCAACAAAAGTATGCGAAAAGCACTACTACAAACTTAGTACGACTAATCCGCATATATATATATATATATATATATATATATATATATATATATATATATATATAGATGAGGAATTACTTTCATTTCAGTGGAAATACCTACAAACAATTTACAGGAACTGCTATAGACTCACTAACATCCGGACTGATCGTTGAAGTAGTGATGTAGAGGTTAGAATCAAGAGTCATTCAAATAATCAAACTAAAAGTTTGAATACGTTATGCTAACGACAATTTTGCAATTATCAAAACAAATGAATTGTTACACTTGTTCAACCTCATCAAACAAACCTTTGAAGTGATTGAAATTCACAGAAGGAGAAAATTACGAAGTTGCGTTCCTAGATGTGTTTACAAGAATACATGTTACAGCCTTACAGACTCAAGTGTACGGGAAGGTGACACACACAGATCACATTTTGAACTATAACAGTAACAACTTAACGTCTCATAAAAAGGTATTTTCAAGTAAAATTTGCGTCTCCAGGACTCATTGTAGCCTTCAGTAACTATAAAAGACAGAAGAAAACCACCTTTACAAAGTATTCAGAGCCACTGCCTATCCATTCAACTTTATCAAGAAGTGTCCGTACACAGAAAACTCACCAGTACAATTACTACAATCTACGAAGTGAATCACTTTACCATACCCCAGAGCTGTTTCAGAAACCGATAATCAACTGCTTCGTCCATTTGGTATCAGCATGGCATACAAGTCGATTAAATCCCTTCCAAAAATTTTATGGTAGCTAAAACATCCCCTTACACAAAGAAGACATTAGGAATATAGTCTACAGAATTAGTTACAAGGACTGTCAACATAATTATATAGGCCAATCCAGTCGTCGAACAGGCCAAAGAATCTATAAACACGAAATTGTAGTCAAACAACATGATATTTATCCTCACTGATATGGAATTGTGTGAATGAACTCAACTACAACTTCTATCAGGACATCGTTGAAATTCTACAACACACAGGTTCAAAAACTGCAAGAGAGTTCCTGGATGCATGGTAACACAAACGGATGGAGTCAGAAGACACTTGGACAGTGACCCAATAAAGGGGTTATTAAGAGGAGATAAGGCAAGTATAAATCAGTCAAGTAAATCAATAACCAAGAATTAGGTCGACAGCATATTCCAAACGACAGTAATAATTATAAAGGTTAACCTATGATAAAAAAGAAGGATAAGTCACCGCTAGTCATAAGTCAATAACTCTCGAGGTTAGAAAATATCCTTCATAAAAATTCATGCAACCTGGAAACGGTTCACTTTTTTATGAAGTAAATGCTGATGAGGTCACGTAGCCTGGTAATGAAACATCCAGGAACAAACACCAAAGAATTACCACGCAACTCTATTTTTAACGTTTATGTTGTATACAATGTCTACAATTTTAAATAAGCTTTTTTAGGAAGTACATTAATATAGTTTCTTACCGGTTTGAGAGTTCCTGTAACTCACATGGCAATTTTATTGTATGATGAGTTTTACTAAGATGGGCTTTAAAGGGTTTCTAGAATTGTGGATTATCGGTAAACTGTATAATTGTGGCGTTTGTCTCATTCGGTTTGAGCTGTTTATAAACTATTTTAATGATAAATGCATTTATTAACAACAATTGAAGCTGATGATTAACTTGTTTTTCAATACATGAGACTGTCTGCACAGCTGTCCATTTTAAATTTGGCTCGATAATTAATCTTTCATTCATGTCTATTCGGTAGCCATCGCAACAATGGTTTCTTCTTTTTCAGATCATTATTATTCTCGTTTGGTTATTTGGTTACAGTACCAACCATATTGCTGATATGTAGGGAAGTTAAAGAAACTGATGAGATAAATAAGCTAACTTCCTTTTAATATAGTTATGACTATCTTTTTTAGATGTTGTCTAATAGAAGAGTTGTTCGAATAGGTTTTTGTACTGAGTTCGCACTTCCATTTTATTCTTTTCCAGAGGAACAAACCTGTATCATAATCTAGATGATAGGATGTGCCAATGAAATCAAGGCAGATTGCGAAAAAATAAATTAGGATTATACTTTCAATGATTTCAATAATCATTTTTCTAACGACAACGCTTTTCTGAAGCATAGCAATGCTGAAGTTAAAGAATTTAATTCAATAAAGTAGCGATGGATTTTCCAGAATTGGAGAAAGAGTTGATGATAAGTTTCACTGGACTTCAAAAGCTGGGAAACAGTAACCTCCATTTTCAAGTCAACAAGATGGGGAAGATTAGGTTTTATAGGTTTTGTCTTACTTCGACGTAAAACTTTTTGAATCCTAATCAAATAATAAATATTCTTTCTGCATGTTCACGTTTATCATCTCCAATTCAGTCATCTCCATTTTCATGATTGCGATGTGTTGTATACTTTGTTTTCAAACCACGCTGGTTATTCTGAAGGTTATGCGTTTATATTTCTATGGTATCATTTGAATTGTGTTTATTGTTTCACTCTCTAAATTCGCTGAGACCTCTGTCATCTCATGAATTTGTTTGGCTACTTATGAGTAGCTTAGATTTTGCAAACAATTTTGCGAATACTGGATCCAATTTAGAATTGTCATTCACTTAAATGAGCGCATAGTGACAATGGACAGAGCATAGATACCTTCTGTTGATAAAACAGTTTTGGATATACGGAATGTTAGTCATATGATATTGTTTCTTGTCTCAGCACAAAGTCACAAGTTTTTGAGCTGCTTCAGCTGCTACTGATTCCTTCAAAACTTCGTTTATTTATCACCACAGATGATTTTGTTTATCTGTCGTCTTCATCATTGACAACCGATTTTCTCTTCCATATTGTGGTAGCAGCATCACCGTATGACATTGCAATACAGTGTTTCATTTATTAATCAGTAAACAAAAGAAAATTTAAATTGCTGCCGCACATTATGTTTGCAGTCCATGAGACATTTATAGAAGATTTTTATGGCCTTCTACGTCGTACATACACGTAGACATCTATTCTTTAAAATCCTTGGAGTTTGTTTACGAAAATATGTATAATATTTGTTTACTTCAATTCGCACTTCAATTACATCTTGATGAATAGATTTAAAAAGATGTCATCCAGGCTAAACAAATAAATTTTATTTCATCAATTGTAACACCCTTATTAAATATTTAAAACAAAGTATATCTGAGTGAACAACTGCTTATAGAATTTTCTTCATCAGCCACCGCGTTTATAAGTCCATGTGTACTATAGTAAATTAAAAAATGTAAGTAAGACATAGATGAAGTCATAGTTAAGCAGTTACAATGTTCAGGAGTGGAGACTGTGATTGGAGTTAAAAGTGAAACTATGAACAGGTCAGTCTTCATGGTACTCACAAAAAGAATGCAGAAAAGCTAATCATTTGATATATAAAGTAGTGTTAATAAATGGTAAACTTTGTGCAAAACCTTTAAACGGAAATACAAAAACGCTGTGTGGAGTGAGTTAAAATCAATGTAAAAGAAATCATATCAATATTGTGATGAAACGAATAGCATGGTATACCTGAGGTTAGAACAATGATAAAGCCAATAGCATGTGGTTATTATTATGAGCATGGGATGTTTAGAAGGAAGAAGGAAACTGCGTGAATGAGAAAAAGAGCTGCTGTGCCACAATTTCAATACGTAGTGACAAAGTAAAAACTGAGCCCATTACAAACCTGAATGGGTAGAAAGATAGAGTGCATTTCCTTCGAATTCTTGAATCCACTTTTCTCCTATTCACTATCATGAACTCAGCAATATATAACAAGAAATTTTTCAGATGATGAATTTCAGTATGATGTTTGGTGCCACCAGATGGATCACGATGGGGGAAGTGTAAGACATCCATTTACTCATCTCACAAACAAGCTGATCAATTTCCCCTATTTGTCACAAAATACATCTGCACTTCGTGCATATTTGAAATCCTAAGAACAGGGATGGGAAATAATTTTCGAGCTTTTAAGCTGTTTCCTATAGGGTAAATGTCATGCGAAAGTTGTCACGATGTCTCCAGGCTGTCGATTGATTTTCTTGCAAACGAAAAGATTCACTTGACCTTTCCATCGACTGACATCAGTTGGAGAAAAACCGGAAACCTGGGAACATAGGACAGTTGTTTAGTCCAAGTATGGAACTTGTTAGCAGTATGCGCCCAAGACTTTGCCAGAGGTCAAATACAGGACCTTCAGCTTGCGTGACCAGCACGTTACCATTGAGTTACTGAGTCGGAATCCAATGGTTCATATTCCCTACTTCTGTCAGTTCACGATATAGAGTTAATTCTCAAGATTATAATGAGAAGTCTTGACTGGTGAAGCGAAACTAGTGGAACACCAGGACAGTTATTTAACAATGACATTGACTGGAGGCTGGACTATATTGTGAACTGAAGGAAGTAGGAAATTGGAACCAACGCGCCCCAACCCCGGGGCTCGACGGTAATTTGCTGACCACGTAATCTGAAGGTACCGAGTTCAACCCCTAGCGAGGGCTTTGCTGCGCACTACTGAAAAGTCCCATACTAGGACGAAACAGCTATTCAGTACTCACGGGTTTCTAATACTTCTTCAATTAATGTTAGTCCATGGTGAATACAAACCTGAAATCAACAAATGAATCTCCACAAACCTCCAAATTGTCTTATATCTGTTGTGTAAGCGGGGAACCTGAAATTTGCAACATGCTGACGTCTCTTTAGATGCCACATCATTTAAATGTTACCAAATAAATAGAACGAAAGGAATTCTATAGCCGGGTTCTACAGACGAACATCTAAAAGAAGTACCTGAATCTTCAAAATCTTGTCTTCACTGTTGATAACCTCATATTTTCTCATTCGTTATCTTATCATATGTTAATTGAAAACCAGTGGGCTCGTGTGCTTGACTGTGGCAAGTCATACTTTCTAGAATTAGCACCATTTCGCGTCGACTTATTACTAGGTTTGCTTTTCTACTAATTTTACGCCCCTGGAAAACAGCTAAAATAGAATCGAAATTTTATGCAATTCACTTCACTCTAAATCTGTTGGTCGATAAGTGTTCTCTTATGATAGCAGGTGACTGCATCAAATGTGTCGCGTAGAGATCAGCCAATAGGTACCTCGTCATATGACTGTTACAATTTATCAGTTAGTCTGTTTTTAGTAGCTCGTTTGAGTTTCAAGGTTGCAACTGAATTACAATGACTGTCTGAAATAGTCAACGTGTTTCTATGCGACTCACCTCGAATAATTCCATTCCTCATTCTTTTCGATTAGCTCCATTGAAATTAAAAGACTATGCTGAGAACGTTGATCGACCGAAATGGTGATAAATGTAATAATTACACGCATGACGATTAAAAAATAACACGTAAGTCTTCCCTTCACCTGTGTTAAGATTAAGATGGCCAATGTGCACCGACGGCAAAATAAATACATGTCCAGCTGATTTTGAAAGTAGTGTTGCTAATAGATGAATGAATTTTTATGATCATTTTAAGTAATTTTGATAGCAAATCGTTTTTGAGGCATGGCTTTCACCGGCTAAGTTTACATGAATTAGATAATAAGTTTCTTTCGAAGCTATGTGGGGATTTGCTGACTTCAATTGAGAATTGACTGATGTAGGAAAATTAAGAACATTCGGTTCCAACCCAGTGTCTCACTGGTGAATTACTGGCCTGGAAACCCAGAGTTACTGAGCTCAGAGTCTGCCGAGGTAGTGGGTGAGCACTGCTGAGGAATTGCAATCTATAAATAAATGAATGGTTGTTCAGTGATGTTACATTTTCAGTAGTTCTCTAAATGGTATAATTTTGTGGTGAATACAACCCAGAAAACAATTTCTCATTGTTGCATCCAGAAAAATCCACGAAAAGAAACTGTCAACTTTCCAACTTTGTCTAGTTACATGCTATATGCTAATTCTAGAAACGATTAATATCCCCATAACCTACATCACTGTGAATGGATTTGAAACAGTTTCCAGTTGGTTGCTGTTAAATTCTATTAAAATTTCTATCTTTTGAATCTTTTCTGCAGTTGATGGAGTTGAGAAACATTATTTATTCGGGAAACGCTGTGTAACTCTGTGAACTACATCTTGTATTAAGGTGGTTCAGATATGAACTCGGTGATGTACTGACGCACAATAAATCTAAGGACGTAAAGATCAAAATTCTGTTTGCCGACACTGCCAACCTGTGCCGCATGTTTACTCTCTCCAGATGCAGACAAATAATTGATGGGAAACATGAGTGCTTGAACAGACTTAAAAGTGAATCAGCAAAGTATCCTTTACTAACTAAGCTTCATACGTCAAGTAACAGCCATTATGTTATTTAAAATTGACATTTAAAATGGATGGAAGAAACAAAAACTTATAAATAACGCACAGAAAACATGGTGGTCATTTATTTGAAATCGAACTACAGGCATATTATCTAGCTTCTAACTATGGACAGCTAAAATTATACAAAACCGATATAATAAACCTGTACTTGTTACTGAACACAAAACATCTACACACGTTAACATAAAAGTTAGAATACGATCTAAGCATGGTGTTTACAAGCATTCTTAGCCAGGTAGTGTGATTAACGTAAATTAACATTTAGTTACATTTTCAATCTCTTAATTGATTACTCACATCAGTATCGAATTTTTCGATTTGATATTGCATACAGTTATAGAATCTTATTAACCAGATAGCGTATCAAGCACAGTATATCACTCATCATCACATCAAGGCAATCATTCAACATTCCACAATAGATCATTAACTGTTCTACCCCCTCCATTCTTTGATTACTTTGGAAGTGAGATACTCAATAGAAATCTGGTAACAGTGTTGAACCATTCCCTCTACCACTATTACTACTACTATTACTACTATGACTACTACTACTACTACTACTACTACTACTACTACTACTACTACTACTACTACTACTACTACTACTACCACTACTACCACTACTATTACTACTACTACTACTACTACTACTACTACTACTACTACTACTACTACTACTACTACTACTACTACTACTACTACTACTACTACTACTACCACTACCTCTACCACTACCACTACCACTACTACTACTACTACTACGACGACGACGATGATGATGACTACTACTACACCTATTAGGTGTTGAACCTATGAAGATAGATCCAGTGATCAACGCTGCAACTGAGTACAATCAAGTAAATGGGTAGGTCGAGGTCATTTACATTAGCGGAAAGTTGGAAACTAGCTAGTTCTAGGTCGACAGACCCTAATAAGATAAGTAAACTGGAGAAGAATTCAACCAAAAACATACAGACTCTCCGATGTCCTTTATATGCCTGGAGTTTAGATACCTTGATTTCCTCTCTGACTTTGTTTCATTCACTGCTCACATTACTAACTTTCCTTTTTATTCACCCTTTGGAATTTCTGAATAAATTTAGGAGTGTAATTACCAGTACTACTCCTACTACACGTAATGGGTTTTGGATCGATGGAGATAGATTCTGTGGTCAACCTCTCCATACACTTGACTACATTATTCTTTATGACTGTCACTCTATTCCACCCTGTTACGTGGTTGTATGCTAACGCATGCATAGTTTTGGTTGAATTCTTCTCCAGGTCACTTACCTTATTAAGGTCTGTCAACCTAGACCTATCTAGTTTTCAACTTTCTGCTAAGGTGAATGACCTCCACCTAACCAATTATTTGGTCATAAGCAGTTGCAACGTTTTAGCTATATATAACATGCTTATTTATCAACATGCTAATCAACGTGACTATAGAAGCTGTCATGAATGAACTGCGCGATGATTCATGGCTCACCCATAAAAAACAGGGTACCAGCTGAAGACATAATGTCACAATATGAATCATCTATTATTCCTGTAGTTTTCACATTTCACGTAGATACATATAAACAAATTGGGGTATCGTGGGAATCGCCGTGCTCCCCAGTGGTGGCAGATATTTTATGAACAGTTGTAAACACTTAGCTTTTATACAATTTATTCCTATCCCGAATGTATGGCAGAGATATGTGCTGATATACTTGCTGTGTTGATTTTCAAATGCTTCATATTTTTCGTATGCTTCATTTCTCTGATAGATAGGATATAATTTGCTTTCTAGTTGAAAAATGAATAAGGATAATTGGCCGCGTTAGATTGTAAAGTGAAATGAAGAAAAGATGATGACCTGGAACTAAGTGTCCATGAAAAACCACATTCTTATAGATATCCAAACGTTGAATTATCTCATTATACCTCACTAAAAGAAGGCTTAATCAAATATATGCGAAATAGAGCTAGGAGATAATCCAGTAAGTAAAAAAGTTAAATAAAGAAATGGAACACATAAGAGGAGCTTTAAGTCCTGGTAATTACACTCCTAAATTTATTCAGAAATTCCAAAGGGTGAATAAAAAGGAAAGTTAGTAATGTGAGCAGTGAATGAAACAAAGTCAGAGAGGAAATCAAGGTATCTAAACTCCAGGCATATAAAGGACATCGGAGAGTCTGTATGTTTTTGGTTGAATTCTTCTCCAGTTTACTTATCTTATTAGGGTCTGTCGACCTAGAACTAGCTAGTTTCCAACTTTCCGCTAATGTAAATGACCTCGACCTACCCATTTACTTGATTGTACTCAGTTGCAGCGTTGATCACTGGATCTATCTTCATAGGTTCAACACCTAATAGGTGTAGTAGTAGTCATCATCATCGTCGTCGTCGTAGTAGTAGTAGTAGTAGTGGTAGTGGTAGTGGTAGTGGTAGTGGTAGTGGTAGTGGTAGTGGTAGTGGTAGTGGTAGTGGTAGTGGTAGTGGTAGTGGTAGTGGTAGTAGTAGTAGCAGTAGTAGTAGTAGCAGTAGTAGTAGTAGTAGTAGTAGTAGTAGTAGTAGTAGTAGTAGTAGTAGTAGTAGTAGTAGTAGTAGTAGTAGTCATAGTAGTAATAGTAGTAGTAATAGTGGTAGAGGGAATGGTTCAACACTGTTACCAGATTTCTATTGAGTATCTCACTTCCAAAGTAATCAAAGAATGGAGGGGGTAGAACAGTTAAAGATCTATTGTGGAATGTTGAATGATTGCCTTGATGTGATGATGAGTGATATACTGTGCTTGATACGCTATCTGGTTAATAAGATTCTATAACTGTATGCAATATCAAATTGACTCTTGGGATGACTTCCCGCTTCACTGCCTTGATTTTATTATCATATTGATTTTTCATTTCATTTCTTGAGACGGGTATTTTCACTTGGTATTCATTTTCGAAGGAAGTTCATCTAACCGTGGTAACTGTTTTACATCATGAAGTTTTTAATATTTATTAGGTAATTGTGGTGTTGTCAGCTGTCTCCTATTTGTAAAATGAGAAATGTCATAAATTCTGTAAATTGTAAAACCGTGATTACTGTTTATAATGACTATAAGCGTGTTGCGTTTAATTTACCTATTAATAAGACCTCGTAGAAACACAAATATTTTTTAGAGTCAGTTTTGCCAGTCTGTATGTTAACAGAATTTCGCAGGTTTTTAGAACGAAATCCCGTGAAATGAGATTTTCTCTGCCGCTATATTTCTTTCAGTTATTTCAAAAATTGAATGTGGATTCGTTTATTTGTCAGCGATAAGAAAAGTCCTCTAATGCGAATACGTGATTAATGGATGTACACACTTTGAAATTCTCTGCACCTTTTTATGCTTTATCAGCCTGTATTGGCTATATACCGTGACTTATGAAACTTAATCTACTTATATATCCAGTAACTTTAAAGGCCACCCTAGCCACTGTTATGACACCAAATAACGGCTCTGTATTTCATGAAAATCTAACTTCCTAGCCGAAATACGGAAACCTGATTGGCTGTTCTAACAATTGGTTTAGAGTTACTCTAAATATTGTGACTTTCAAGGTCACACTAGCAACTAATGAGATAGGAAATCAAGTTGTTTTATTTTGGAAATACTGCCGTCTTAGGCAAAATATTTAAATCTGATTGGCTATTTCAACAGTTGCCAGCGCGGCCTTTTAAATTGCTACAATCTTATAGGCCACCCTCACGGCTACTAGAATTACCAATCAGGTCGCGGTATTTTGGCTGGGAAGACAACTTCTTATAGGATAGGGATGTGACTGACTGTTACACCAGTGGCTACGGTGGCCTTTAACGTCACCTAAAATATCCTGTCGTTGATTCGAGGGATTTTAAAAATCGCCCTAGCAACAATCGAAATAGCCAATAAGATCTTTCTATTTCTGCCGGGAAGGCAGATTTTCATAAAATACAGAAGTGTAATTGGTTACTTCAGTTTTTGCTAGGGTAGCCTTTAAAGTCGCTTTGACAGTAACTCTTTGATTCGAATGAATGTTCGTAGTAGCTTACTTATTCATAAGTGTCACATGGCCGTGAAAATACTTGTTTGTTCGACAAGGGTTCAATGCAGACAGAGATAACGAAGAGAGATAACAAAGCACAGAATAACTTTTATCTGTGATGCATGTATCATGTGCATATTAGGCTCCACAAAAGTAATTTCGGTTCGGTCTTTTGATTTCTTCAATCAAATTCACTAGTGAGTGTATGCTGCTTCTAATAGTATATCCCAATCAAACATCACAACTTAAGTTGAAAGGAAATATGCCTCGAGGATAATTGCTGACTGAACGATTACAGAAGTGTCTATGAGGTTTGAACTAAACTTCGTAAAGTCCACCAATTTAATTTTCCTCTACTGCTTAAGTTTCAATACGTTTGAAGATTACATTTGATGAAGGGAGAGTAACCTGAAAACTTAGGGGAAATGTAAATCTTCACTCAATCTGTTAAGCGCCTAATTACACTTGACAGCTTTCAGAGATATTTACCTGAAAGATAATTTTTTTGCACTCACCACATTTCCCCATTTGACTGGGTTTCCTCTGTTATATATACAGTGTAAAACAAGCTGTTAAAAATGAAATTGTTAAGAGGATTTGTCTTTGGTTGAGTTTTTAACACATAGAACGAATGTGTAACAACTACCAGAAGACTTTAGAAATGATGACGGTAGATGAAGGCACTCTGCTTATCAGTTATAGTGATACAATAATTAAAAAAACTGCCTGAGACACCACCCAACAAATAATACTGTAATTCCCTACGATACTAATAAAATCGATGTCTACTTGAGGATTATACTATGGGATTAAAGCAAGATATGTAACCAAATAAAATTGCTTTTTCAGTTAGATCCTTCTCAGGCTTCAGTCACAGATAAGTGACTCCTAATATACATGAAAAGCAATACTGATCGTGGTGGTTTTTGAGCCAAAGTTAACCGGGTAGGGAAAGAATTACTCTCAGATAACTATTAAATAGTTAACAATAATGTTACTCACTTATTTTAATTAGAGATTGATTGATTTCGAGGTAGCACCTATTACGGACTGACATCATTTGGAGAACCATTGTAAATTTCAGAGCTTTAAATAGCTGTCTTTTCCTAGTAAAGGATTTCTCAGCAGTGCAACGCCTGCGCAGTGCATCATGTCCAAGACCATTTTATTTTGAAGTTAGCACATTAGTAGTTTAACTTATAGTGACTTGAGTAATTAAAATAATAAAGAAACGCTGACATTTTAACAACCCATATACTTCGAAACTTAGGAATATGAAAGTTGCCTAGAATATGACTTAGGTGAACACCTAAAATTCATAAAAGGCAGCGTACAAAGTGGCTGAACACTTCGCTGATCAAGGCAAAGATAAGGTGTGTACACACTTGCTTCTGAATACCTTTTTCTATGGGTTCAGCTGTCTGCAGAGCAAGTATTCATGTTGAAGCTATTTCTTAGTGCATGGCATAATGCAATTTTGTTCATATTAATTAGAAATACAAGCAGTCTGAATAGAGTAAAGATGCCATTTACAAACCTGAAAAGTTAAACAGAATGATAGCAATGTTTGTATAGTGGCAGTAGAATGAAAAAGTATATACAGCTGTTTCATCTGTGAATCATAGTGAATTAGTCTAGGAAAAGTTAGAGGTGGGGATATCCATCTACAAATTACTCGGATAATACAAATTCATCGTTCATTCTGTCCATCAGAGAGAAAAAAGGACTAAAATTACGATGAGTTAAAGGAGAAATGATGATGTAAGT